ATCCCGAGATTGTAGACCATGTCGGCAACCTATTCGCATGGGTATTTGGTGAGGTTTTTCATTCCTGTTTTCTAGGATTCTATTGTTGTAGTTTATAGAAGCTAGATGACTTTTGTCGAGACCTCTAGATTTGAGATATTATTGTACTTGCCCATTGTATTATCCCAGAACCATAATAGAACCCGTTGTGGCGAAAGACTGAACCTAACCCATACTTGGAGTGAACCAGTATAAATCTTTTGTGTCGTCTACTGCGCTTTTCCTATATTTCTCTTATTGTGTGATTGACTTAGTCTTTATTAGTATTGATGAAGGTCCTGTTTTTTTATCAATGTGAGATCCTTAACATGTCCTTTCAAAATCGTGGCTCTTTTGACTTATCAATTTTGGTTGGATCTCATTTTTGGGCCGGATCTTGTTTTAGCTTTTGGCTTCTGATATCATATTAATATTCATCAGGTTCCATCTCAAAATCAATTGACAATAAGAGGAGTAGCTCATGTCTATTATAAACCTATATAAGGTTCATTCTTTATTAATATTGGATCCTTTACAGTTTTCAGTGAAGAACTATGTAAGGGGGAAATATTCTTGGTAAGTAATTTTCCGAACAACCTATTATTTCTTTAATGAAATTAATGAAAATTATATTATTATAGAGCCGAACAGAAATATCAACCAGACAAGCAATGATAGCTCTCGTGAATTATATAAAACCAATTGCTATTTTACAATATATTAATTACACTATTTAGTTGGAAGTTCTGCATTATTATTTGTTTCTATTTGAAGGCAGTGCATAAAATATACAGACGACAATGACATATTTAAAATTGGAAATTTATTAAGTTATATTGAAGGGCTAAATCTTTGTTTTCCAAGGTTTGAATTTAGCTTAAAATGATATAGATCCAATCTAATAAAGTTTAATATAGTTTTAAAATGTAGAATATTATATTAAGTACATGCTAAGTTTACATAGCATAAAACTTAGCAAATAATTTTTTTCCATAAGAGATCAGCCAATCATTTTGCATGTCACCTGAGACGACAAAATTTTAGATTTTTCTTCTTTTAGGCAACCTAATTCACCTTTCAAAAATCTCTCCCTCAATTCTTACTAAATACTAAGCCATATAAATTTATTATTGGTTCATCTTAAATATTCACCGACGAGAAGAGTATAATTAAAAAACGATTAAAGTGGCTTACCTTGAACGATTTATAGAAGGAGAAGCCAGGAAAGTTGATGGGCAAAGACATGAACCCTAATGAAACATCATGAAACAAAGCCTCCATTTCTCCAATGGAATAGTCTGTGGTGGTTGAGCCCATGAAAATATTCCAAATAACTTTGAAAGTTAGCTTTTTTATCTCTGTCAACAGTTCTATTGGCCTCTGCATACTCTCCCACTCCTCCAACCCACCCACCACTGTCTCTTCAATATGGCAGATGTACATCTCCAGCGCCGTGTGGCCGCTGATCGGCGCCGTCATCAGTCGTCGGAGCCGCCGGTGCTCTGCCTTCGAAAATTGGATCAGTGACTTTTTACCCGATAACAATTTTATGTTTACGGGTAAACTAGGCACAAATTTTTCTTCATCTCCTAAAACTTGACGGCAGAGTTCAGGTGTGCACACGATTATACTTGCTCTCCCAAGTACGTGAGTTTTGAACATATCAACTTTCCCATATCTATAATAATATAAATCAATGAGAAACGACTCGTCTGAATATAGAATCATATACTTTTATACTATGTTAAACTACCACTGAACCCAAAAACTCAAGTTGATATGTTATGATAAATTTAATACTTTATTAATATCACTGTAATTGTGAGAGCTCAACTAGTTAATTCGACCAAGAATGAGTATTTTATTATCTTCAATAAATCAAGAATGAGTATTGATGAGATAGACCTGTTGAAAAAGGTGTGAACGAAATTTTGAGGTCGACCATTACTAACATCTTTGACGAAGGATAGAGTAGAACCGAGAAGAGGCCAGCTCATGTCACCGGGAGGAAGCTCAGCCCATATGTTCCTCAGCCTGGCCCCATAATACCAACCATTCAATCTCTTCAAAACTCCAAAAACAAAAACAAAGGCTGCAAGAATCAATACCAACCAATTCTTGAACTCCATTGTTGATTTCTTCAGCTTGATCTGATCCCTTTGGTCTAAAATTAATGCAAAACTCTATTGATATTCTGGTGGCACACTCATGATCTTTTGACCAAATTAAAGCATAATTTTGAAGAGAGAGGAATTGATGAATGAGGTGTGGAAGGGGTGAGTGGTGGAATCAATTTGAAAGAGAGATGAAATTCTAGAAAAGAAGTCACGAAATTAATTATAGACACAAAGATTAATTA